AAAGGATGTTCAAGGGAAGTGGTGATGTTTAGGGAATGTTCCAGCCGGGGTGAGAATCCGGGTCTAGAGGTCCTGGGTGGGGATGCAGATCTGGATGGGTGGGCTTGCTGTGTTCCTGCCAGGGCTGTGCAGGGTCCCCCTTCTCCTGGCAGCCAGGCTTTCTGCTGCCAAGACCCCTTCTCATCGTCTCTGGCCCACCTGGCATTCGAACCTGATGGGTTGGCGGCTGGGCTGGAGCACAGACGCAGCTTCATGGGACGCTGATTCCTGCTGCTCCTGACCCTTGAGAGATGTGTCGGGTCCAAATTTCTAATTTTTCTGGTGAGGAAAAGGGGTCCCGTGTGGGAAGAGGGCAGCCAGTGTCCGAAACAGTGTGACTGATGTGAGTGGGCCGGGGCTGAGGCCTCGCTCCCGCCAGAATGGGCGACTCTGAGGACCGCCATGATGCAAGCCTGCCACTGCCTGCAGCGCGCTGTGGTTGGCAGGCTCGCCAGGCCTGGCCTGTTCACCGGGAAGCTCCGGATGAGCAGCCTCGGTGGAGACGGGTCCTAGAGAAGGTGAGAGGACCGAGCCAGAGAGCCAGACCTGGTTCCTCCTGCTGGAAACAAGGAAAATGTCTCTTCATCAGGGGCTGTTGGTTGCCTGGCTCTGCAGCGTAGGTGATGCACCTGTCTTTCCCTGGCACTGCGTGTTCCTCAGAGAGTGTTTCCCCAGCTGTACCTCGCGGGCACCGAGGTCCAGGGCAGGGCTGAACAGGCAGAGTTTCCCCCAGGCGAGGCCCACACCGCCGGCCTTGACCACACTCAGAGTAGCAAGGCCTTGGGGGACCAAGAACCCACATGGGGACTTGGAAGCTGCCTTAGAACGTTCATGATAGATGTGGGTGCAGGGAGAGCGGTTGGCCAGGTAGCTGTCTGGCTTCATTCACTGCATGAATTCTAAGCTGGAACCTCCTGTCCCCTCTGCCCTCCTGACCTCCCAATCCTTCCTCAGTTTCCTGAGTAAGAACATGGCACCCACTGGCACCCTCAGGTCCTCTGCAGCCAGACAGGAGACTGGGCAAAGCCAAGGCTGAGAAGTGCTGGGGTTGGTCAATAGTGTCCCCGTGGGGTAACCCCAAGTTACCTGGAAAGAGCTCCCTGACCATGTAGTTTGTCCCAGGGAATAAAGAGGTGCAGGGAGATGTCCTTCCCCACTGTTTACTTCTGGAAAATGCAGGTTGTGAGGGAAATAAAACAGGAAGTCAAGTCATGCTTGCTTTTACAAAGTAGTGGGGAGGGGTGCCTTGCTCCCCTACGGCCACCTGCCCAACTGATGTGAAATGCATATTTCCGTCCTTCATGTATCATGAGCTGCAGGCCCCATGCCTGGGGGAGTTGGCACCTTCAGGGCCAGACGTCAGGGAAAATACCTGACAGTCTGCATTTCCACCTGCTCAAAGCCCTTTATTGCCACATCCCATTGGACCCGCACGAGAGCCCTGACCATGGGGCCTCTTTACACCCAAGGAGGCTGCGAATATGGCAGGCGCTGCTCAGGACACTGCGCGGTCTGGAATCCAGGCGGTCAGTGCCCAAGCAAAGGGGCAATCCCCAAGGATGTCAGGGCCTTGGAGACATGGAGCCACCAGGAAGCCGTACTGAGCAGAGAATGTGCCCTTGCAAAGCTGCTGGAAAAATGATGGCTCTAGGAATTAGCCATAGGCTCGGCTCTCCCCTACCCCACAAAGAGAACTAGTTGCTTTTGACTCTCCAGCCTCAGACCAAACTAATTCTTACTTGTCTTCACTCATCATAAGCAACAGACTTGAGAGTTGGTGAACATTTTTTATTCTGTGCCTATAGTGACCTCATCTACAAGCAGGGAAACAACTGTGATCTGAACTCTGCCAGCCCAGGAGGTACCTTTCAAAAGATGCCATAAAAGCTGCTTTCCCAAGCCACGTTCCTGGATGGAAGTTTCCAGGAGTAAATGCAGGGGAGAGGTTGCTGCCTCCAGAGAGCCAGAGCTTCTCAAAACAGTGAGATTTCAAGGATGCCTGAGTCAGCCCTGTCTTAGTTTATCCTCCTGGACCAGGAGGCTGGGGGCTGGCAGGGGTGGCTGCATCCTGCTCCCTCCCTGCAAGGAGCACAGGCCACTGTAGGAATTGCCAAGGGCCACCCAGCCATTGGGTGGCCAGCCATTGGGTGGCCATGGTGCCCTCAGAGAGGCCTGGACTGCCACTCTGCAAGTGCTGCCCTGGGCAGGTCTCTGAAGCTGGCAGGAGATTGACATTCATCAAACATCCTGAGAAACAATGTCAAAATCAGCAAAATAAACTCAAAGCTACAGCTGGGGTGGGAAGGAGGACTCAGCAAAATACTAGATTTCTGAATCCCAACCCATGCTGAGTTGATGTCAAAGTCCTGCAAAAGAGCGCTATGGCTCATGCTTGTAATCCTAGCACTCTGGGAGGCTGAGGCAGGAGGATCGTTTGAGCTCAGGAGTTCAAGATCAGCCTGAGCAAGAGTGAGACCCTGTCTCTACTAAAAGTAGAAAATAATTAGCTGCACAACTAAAAGTAGAAACCAAAAATTAGCTGGACATGGTGGCTTGCATCTGTAGTCCCAGCTACTTGAGAAGCTGAGGCAAAAGGATCCTTAAGCCCAGGAGTTTGAGGTTGCTGTGAGCTAAGCTAATGCCGTGGCACTCTAGCCTGGGTGACAGAGTGAGACTCTGTCTCAAAAAAAAAAAAAAAAGAAAAGAAAAAATTGTGGTGAAAGACAATTTACCATCTTAAGCATTTTTAAGTGTACAGGTCAGTAGTGTTAAGTACATTCACATTGTTGTGCAACCACCACTTATATTTAGCTCCAGAATTTTTTCAACACCCTAAAGGCAAAGCCTAAGCCCATTAGCAGTCACTCTCCAATCCCCCACCCCCAGCCCCTGGAAATCACTAATCCATTCCCTCTCTATGGATTTGCCTATTTTGGGTATTCCATGTAAATGGAATCACACAATATGTGGCTTTTTGTGTCTGTCTGCCTTCACTTAGTATAATGTTTTCCAGATTCATCCATGCTGTAGCATGTGTCAGTGCCTCATTCCTTTCTATGGGTGAATAATATTCCACTGTATGGATGGATCACATTTTGTTTAGCCACTCATCTGACCATGGAGACTTGAGTTGCTTCCATGTTGACTGTTGTGAACAATGCAATGGGTATTATTCACAGCCCTCAGTTCACCGCAGCAGAAGACAGTGACTTCTGGAGAAGGAATGGGAAGCCTCATACTGGCCACAATAGTGTTCAGGGTACTTGGGAGGGTCTACCCTCTCCCTCCACTTCTCTGTCTGTCCTACCCAAGCAATCACCAGTCATTCTCCACTAATTCAACTCCTGTATGTCTGCCTGTGTTCCTTCTTTCCTCCTTCCAGATTCCTTGTCTACACAGGGGCTGACATCTGCATGTGGCCCCTTCAAGATATGGTTTGGATCCCTAGGTACCTTAAAAAGACACAGTTCTCTGGACCCACAGAGGACCCAGTGCCACAAAGATGTGAGGCTGAGGCTGAAGGTATGTCTCTGAAGGCTACAAGCCAAGAGAGGACAGAAGGCTCTGGTTTGTCTGGAACTTGGTGGGTTTGCCTCCCCACAGAGCCTGGATCCTGCTTGTCTCAGCAGCAGCCTCCTCATCCCTAATTGAAGCCCAGGTTTCTGTCCCTTTGCCAAATATTTCTTCCCCTTATTGAAATAAAACCAGATATATTGCCAATGTGTCAGCTCTTATAAAAGAGATTATTTCCTGAATAGGGTGAAAAATGAATGAAATGTGAAGCTGAGACCCCTTGATTCCCCTCACATCGGGATAGGGCTCTGCCTGGGTATGGTGAGGGGAACAGAGGCAAGTGTTGGTTATGCAGGGCCTGAGGGAGGCAGGAGTTTAGAATTGCTCCCAAGTGTGTGTCAGGGGAGACCATTGGAGGACTGGGAGTGAGGGAGTATGATCTGGGTGCTGTGCACAATGGGGGCTGGCAAGAGTGGAAGCAGGGGGCCACTTAGGAGGCTGCCGATGTCGTCCAGGTGAGAGGACTCCTGCTCCTCCATCCAAATCTGCCAACTATTTTTTCCATTCCCTTTCTCAGTTGCTTAAGCCGGGAATTTGGGGGTCATCCTTGACATTTCCACCTGGAAACATTTCTTGACACGCCCTCTCCCAACCCTGTCCAAGCCCCACTGATGGACACTCTCTGGGCTCCTGTGCCTCTTTGCAGCACCTGTCACAAGTTCAGGTAATTCTTGTACAATTATTTGATCGTGGCAGCGACTCTCCAGTGCCTCAGAATCATCTGGGAACCTGTCCAAATGGGGCCGTCTGGGCCCCCTCCGGGACAGAGGAGGTGCCGGGAAATCTGCATGATGAAGGAGCAGCCGGGATTGGAGCAAATGCTAGAGAGTCAACTAGACTCATCTCCAGCAGAGCAAGAGAATCGCTATAAACGAATAAGCCCAGTTTCGCGTTTGTGTTGTGGGTTACTGAGTTCGCGTTTGGTCAAGCCTGGACTTCCCTTTCTCTTACCTTTTAGCTTTTAGGCTTGCCTTAGTTTGCAAGAGACTGGCAGCGGCTTAGCCAGCGGGCCGGGATTTATAAAGACCGCAGAATGTCCACTGCTTCTTCCCGAGCGCCGCCTTCCACCCCCTCGCGTGGGTACTGACGTCCGCCCCATTCTAGGGATGCACAGAGTCGCTGCTGGCCACCGTGGTCCCAGGTCACGGGGACCACCTCCCCTGGCTCTGCAAGCACTGGCCGTCGCCCTTGACAACGCGACCCAAGGTCACCGAGGTCCCGCCCCCAGGCCCGACCATCCGCGCGCGGGGCCGGTCCTGCCCACGCGCCCGTTCAGGCAACAGCGAGGTAGCCCGGCGCGCTCCGTGACGTCACCGTGCCGCGCCCGCGGAAGGCCCGCCCGCCGGCCCCGCCCCTCCGGCCTGGCCCCGCGGCCCCGCCCCTCCCGCGTGGCTGCGCGCGGCGCTCGGGAAGGACGACATGGCGCGCGAGCTGCGGGCGCTTCTGCTGTGGGGACGCCGCCTGCGGTCTCCGCTGCAGGCGCCGGTGTTGGCGGCCGCCCCGGGAGGTGAGGGCGGCGGGGCCGAACGGGCAGTGGGCGGGGCGGGCCGCGGAGACGGGGTAAGGGCGCGAGGCTGCGGCGGCGGCACCTGCCTCACAGGCGTGCGCCGGGCAGGTGCGTTTCGTTTCGCCCACTCCTCGTCGGCCCCGGCCGGACTCTTCTGGCCGCGTGACTCCGCGGCGCCCTGACGGAGGCCGGCTTCGGGCCACGGTCTGGGAGTTCGCGGGGACGGCGCGGAGGGACTGCGGGCTCGTGCCTCCCGGCGCTTAAGCCCCGCCGAGAGCAGGCGCCTGGAGTCGGTAGGGTGCATGTGCTTTGGGGAACTGGCGTGGGAGCCCCCAGGTTGTGCTTTTATTCCTCCTCGCCCCCTAAGTGATGCATAAACCGTTTATTTGTCCGTTCGTTTATTGGACGCACGCCTGAGCCAGCACGGGTTCAGATTGTGGGGACGCGACAGTGAACAAAACCAGCTATGGTCACCGAGCCCTCAGGGAGCCGGTGGACTCTGGGTGGTTGCCCGCTGCAGCCCCAGGGCCTGGAATGGGTTGTTACTTCAATAAATGTTTGTTGTTTTTTCCTTAAGGAGAAAATCACCTTAACCTGTGCTTTCCCGCTCCCCACTCGGAAATAACAACAGTGAACATCTTGGTGTTCCTTCCGGGCTCAGCACGCTCAGTTACACACATACGAATATAAATATACATTATTACCATTTTTGCGTAAAAAAGGTTAAACCATATACGCATTGTGCTACAGAATTTTATTTTAGCGCTTCCAGCATTCCTTACGCGTCTTTTCGCGTCCTTGTACACGTGTCCAGGGGCTTTCCAGTGGCTACACAGTATTCTATATTATGAAGATACCATTTGCTTAACATTGTCTTATTAGTGGACACACTAAAGGTTATTGCGGGATTTTATTTTTATTACAATGCTGTATAGAATGGGCGAGTACTTGGAATCTTTGTGCACACGTGTGGTATTTCTTTAGATTTACAGAATTAGAGTTTTAGAATTGTTTCAGAGCCTGTGCATTTTTGAAATGTCAGCTGATAATACCAAATTGTGGCCCAAAAAGGCTTTTTCAAGCCTTTTTAATTATATCAATTTATATTCCCATTAGTAGGCATCAAGCCTGTCTATTCCATGGTATCTTCTTCCACTAAATATTATGATTTCTCAAAACCATTTGTCTGTAAAAGATACTTTGTTTAATTTTCATTTGTGATACTAGGAGTAAGAATGTTTTCACTTGTTTAATGGCCTTTTATATACCCTCTTCATATCTTTTATACTTTTTTTTTTTTTTTTTTAGAGACAGTTTTAGTCTGTCTCCTTGGGTAGAGTGCAAAGGCATCATCCTAGCTCATTGCAACCTCAAACTCCTGGGCTCTATCGATCCTCCTGCCTCAGGTTCCTGAGCACCTGGGACTATAGGTGCACGCCACCACACCCAACTGATTTTTTTCTATTTTTGGTAAAGACGGGGTCTCGCTCTTACAGGCTGGTCTTGAACTTCTGACCTCAAGCAATCCTCCTGCATCAGCCTCCCAGAGTGTTAGGATTAACAGGAGTGAGCCACCTTTTCCGGCCTCTTTTGTACCTTTTTTTTGTTACCTGAGTTTTTAATTTTGTTGTAGTCTTTAACCCTGGTTTTTAAAAATAACATTTATTCACTGATAAGACAACTGTAAGCTTTACTGCTTTATTATTGTAGCTTTTGGGCAACATTTTCCTTTTTTGTATTTATTTTGTTTTACCAGAGTATACCTTTGTGTTAGTTTTACAGAAAAAGTCTGTGGGTTGTACAGTTTCTAAGCCCATTGTATCTAAAAAGATTTTTTTTTTTTTTTTTTTGAGACAGAGTCTCACTTTGTTGCCCAGGCTAGAGTGAGTGCCATGGCGTCAGCCTAGCTCAGAGCAACCTCAAACTCCTGGGCTCAAGCTTCCTCCTGCTTCAGCCTCCCGAGTAGCTGGGACTACAGGCATGCGCCACCATGCCCGGCTAATTTTTTCTATATATATTAGTTGGCCAATTAATTTCTTTCTATTTATAGTAGAGACGGGGTCTCGCTCTTGCTCAGGCTGGTTTCGAACACCTGACCTTGAGCAATCCACCCGCCTCGGCCTCCCAGAGAGCTAGGATTACAGGCGTGAGCCACGGCGCCCGGCTAAAAAGATTTTTATTTTGCCCTTGTGTAGTAGTTTGGCTGGGTATCGCATTCCAAGTTAAAATAATTTTCCTTCAGAAAGCAATGCTATTGCTCTGTTGTCTTCTCATACCGTTCTTATAGCAGTCGTATCAGTTTGCTTTTTGTTCCTATGGTGAATCTTAAATTGGTGGTAATTGGGAACCACCAGTATTACAAACAACAGAATCCCAACCAGGTAATTCTCTCCCCTGGTAAATGTTCTTCATTGTAGGGAGTAGGGATGGCAGGCCATAGGTTACCTGGAAAATGTAATGTTAATAAAAACGTGAACTGCTATCAAACCTTTTTGCCAGTGCCACAGCACGTGTGGGAAGTGCGGATTTGCTAGTAGACTAATGAGGCTCCTCCCAAAGGCGAGATGTGACCTGGAAGAATCAATAGCAGATTGAGGCAGGTAGGGCAGTGGGTTGGTCATTTTTTGTGGCCAGGTAACTGCCACACACCAAAGCTGCCCAGCCCAGTCTCCTGATCATGCCAGTCGCTTGTGGCTGAAGTTGCTAGAACATGACTGGCACAGTAGGACTGGTTGATGTTGGAGTTAATGGCTTGGGCCTCTTCGTTCTCTGTAAGCTGGAGACGTTGCTGGAAAAGAGAGTTGTAACGATGGGCTGCGAGCAACGGAAGGCTGGAAGAGCTGGCCTCCTGGGTGGCGTAGGGCTCAAGCATCGGTAGGTTTGTTTCCTCTTCCCAAAGGAACTTCTCCTGGACCCGGCTCCTGAGGGCAGCAGCTGCCTGGCCACAGCCTGCCAGTTAGTACTGTATTCTATGGACTTATTTTGCTTCCTTCCTCTGTTCTCCCTTTGTGTGGAGCCCATGCTATTTAATTTCTACACCTCTTGTGCTGCAGCCTTAGCAGAAATTCTTGTGTTTCCAGGCTGGTGGTGAGTCTGGGCAGTCTGGTGAGTCTGGGCAGTCTGGTGGTTTCCAGGCAGGTGGTGAATAGGGCAGTCTGGTGTTTCCAGGCTGCCCTATTTAAGAGGGAGGGGATAGTGCTTGCTGGTCAGATTCTGCTCTGTGAAACAGCTTTTTATATTGCTAAGGTGACATGGCAGTATAGGTTTAGCATCCTGGACGCCTTTGCCATCTGTGTCAACCGTGGTGCTGGGACTTGGATGAAGGCCGAGGAGGGAGGCATGGCCCAGCTACCCAGGATGTACCAGGTAGGCCTTCGGCTTGGGTAGGACCCAGGGGGCTGAGCTATCTGAAGAGGCCAATCAGCCCCAGTGTAGCAGATTAGCAAAGACCTTGTTAGTTACCGGCTGAGTAGTTGGCCAGAGCTAAGCTGAAAGAGAAATCTCCAAGTGTTCTGCTACCGCTTGGCAAGAAGAGGAGGAGTGCAGCTTGAAGGAGCAGGGAATGTCAAGTTGATGAGAAAACAGGGTAAGAAAATAAACATTTCTCACTCCCCTCAAAATGTCAGTTAAATACCATGTGACAAAGGTGGGTTCCATAAAAGACCATTACCGAGGCCAGTGATGCTTGCTTGTCTTAAAATACTGACAAAAGTCTTTAAAGTGAAGGAAAATGTATTCGGTTCACATTCAAATGAAATGCTCTAGGTTCAAAGCTGGAGAATGTTCTTAGATTGCATTTCTGGTGCCCTCAAATACAGCCAGCTAGAACTTTTTGTAAGCACCATCCTGCTCAGTCCTATGGAAGAATTGCCTCTTGCTAGGAAGCTGTTTTTGCTTATTCACAGGGACCTCCCTGTGGATTTCAGAAGGTTTATTTATGGTTTGGCTGGTTATTTCTGCTAAAGCTAGGAATTACCATAAAAGCTGTAGCCTGGAGACCCAGTGTCTACTTGGGTGGCATCATTGCTACCTGCTTTTTAACCAGGTGAGTTCCCATAGATCAGGTGAATTGAAAGCAGGTGTAGCTGAGTCATGGGTTTTAAAATAATGGCCATTATTTAGCAGCCATATAATTAAGAAATGTGATTAGAATATAAAGAATAAATTTCGAGATAGCCAAAATAAATAGCAGAAGACAATACAACATCATTAACAAAATAGAAGGTCTTTACATACACGTGCAGGTGTATTGATAGAATGAAGTCCCCGAATAGGAATGCTAGATTAGAGGGCAAATGCATTTGCAGTCTTGGCCGATATGGGTCACCTTCCAATGGGCTCAGGCCATTTTGCACTGCCCTGAGCAGGTCCCCACAGGGGCCCCAGAGTTACTCTCTGAAAGTTGCCCCTGCAAGTACTACTGGACTGTTCTTTTGGCATCTCTCCCTTCATCTGAGCTAGTGCAATAACCGTGGTTTGAATTGGAGCGAAATGCAGACTCGGGGGCCTTACATCAGCGGTGCTGGGCTGCCCTCACCTGGTCCCTGGGGGCCAGCACCACCTGGTGTACACACCACTCCCGGTGGGTGAAGGGGGCCGGTCCCCTGTGGTACCGCATTGCAGTTAGCCAGCTTCCTGTCCGCCTCCGCTCTTGAGCTTTGATTCACCAATTGTGAATCCACGCTGTGTTCCTGAGATCCCACCTGGTAACCCAGCCTACCTTGGTGACCTCCTTATGTCAGTCCCTGCAGGACTAGAGGCCTGCTGTGGGTGCCTGCCCCTCTCAGGGACAGCACCCTGTGCCCAGCGGCTTTTCAGAGCCCAGTTGTCAGATTGGCTCTTGGGCTGCCACCTGCTCCTGGACTCCCGCAGCCTGAGCCTGCTGCCACAACTTCACATGGCGCTTTGGCCAGTGCCACCCCGCCCAGCTGCCCAGGCCTGGCCATCTGTCCCAGAGGTGGCCGCAGGAGCCCCTCTGCCTAGGCCAGGCTGGGTATGCA